GTAAGATTGCTAACTGTGATTTAAGTCTCATAATTTTCCATAATCAAATTCAATTAATCAAATGGCTTTCTCAATCTGTCTTAAGAATATGGACTTCAATCTCAGAAACTTAAAACACTAAACTTCCTGCAAGATATTCCTAAGCTTTCTTATCCTAAGGCTTGTTAGAGTCTAGAAGCTCATAGGTGCTTCCCAAATTACTCATGTAAATCTTTTCATCTAAATTGAGGTAGATGTCCATTTAGCCAAATTAAGGTCCTTGCTTCTGATAGCTGAAAATTGCATTTTCAACTTTAGAGGGCTAAACCTTTAGGATAGCCTTCTTGTCAATTGAGAAGATGAAAGAGTTGCCATCTTTTTCATAAAATCCTTATGGAGTCCAAGAGATCGAGGTATAGCCACCAAAGATTTTACCATTAGTTGTTTTAATTAGGAGTAATGAAGGTCCCTTCTCATCACAATATTAATGGAAGATGCTATTATTGAATCCATCTCTTGTTGCACTATAGCATATGAAGGAGTTCTTATACTTCTTATCAAGATTTGATTTAATAAAGTCAAGCCCATTCCCTTTGAGTATTTTACTGTCACTGCATAATTTTGTTGAATTTTCCTATTTCTATTCCTCTTCCAATTTGCTATTATCTGATACTTTCTTGAATAGTTTTAATTTTTATTGAAGAAATCCGTCAGTTGATATTCTTATTTTGCCCATTAGATCAAGTACAGCGATGGACATCTCATTGAAAGCTGCGATTTTATACCCATAGATCCCATCCAATTCATACCATTCCTGGAATAAGGGATCCCATTTGATTAGTTAGAAGTAATAATCATTCAACTCTCCTGGCTTTTTGTTGCAATTCAGAGCCCAAAGACTTCTATCAGCACCGACACTAATATCCTTTACACAGAACCCTCCATAACTTCCCATTAATGTTTCATTTTTATCAACCAATAGAGGCTCATCATTCATGAATTCAATGGTTTCAAATTTGCCATTCTCAAAGACTTTATACTAATAACTTTACTTCTCATTTTATATCCATTTGTCATACTGCTCCCCCTTATCAAGTGCAAAGACAGTCATATATAGCTTTCCCGTCACAGATATTCCAAAGTCAGATACGTATTCTCTTAGTACTACAGTAGAGTTATTTTCAACTCTTCTCAAAGTCCAGTTCTAGTCTAAGATATACATTCTACCAAGTTAGTCAAACTTAGCATCATAAACTTAATCAGCTTGAGGAATCGGAGTCCACTCACCTGAAGCAAAGCTGTACTTGTATACTGTCTTTAAAAATACTTATGATGTGTAGTCATGAACTCTGCCATATAACACTTCAAAAGGTGGCAAGTAAACATAAGAGAATCCTTTGAACTGTGGAAGACCATTAGTTCCTACATCAGTCCATCCTTTGATGCTCAGCTATTAATCGAGCCAAAGCTAGAGTGAGCCTTCACCAATTCCCGTAGGTAAATTCATTATTTCTTGACTAAATAACTAAAGGACAAGAAGAGCTAATCCAGTAAGACCCAAAAATCCAAAGAACATTGCTTTTCTAATACTATACTTATTTTCAATTACATTCTTGCAATAGCTATTTATTAACCCAAAGTTTATTTCAAAATCCCTTTTCATAAAGCTTGTTTTTAATAGGAATGACTAGCTTGCAATAATAGACTTAATCTTCTAGCTAGAATTGCTACTTAAATATTGAACTTTTAATATTGTTCAACATCTACATCTTTATTAATTCATAATAATATTCTTATAAAAATTCTATTTTATTAAAACTCTTTAACAATATTTATTTCTGCATTTTATTAACTTGTATTTTATTAAAATTTTTACAAAAAATCAAATTATTGAATGGACTCATGGGGTTTTGGGGTTTTGGGG